AAAGGGGTCCGACCCGCCTGTCTCTTCTGGGTGCTGGCACAAAGCGGTGGTGCGTTCCTTACAGAGCTGGTGGGAAACCAAATTGAATACCCTGAGAGCGGATCAGTGCTAAAGCCTGGCTGGATATGAGCTGGGTAGAATGATAGAATGATAGAATGATAGAATGATAGAATCATAGAATCATTAAGGTTGGAAGAGACCTCTAAGATCATCGAGTCCAACTGTCAACCCAACACCACCATGCCCACTAAACCATGTCCCTAAGCGCCTCATCTACACATCTTTTAAAAACCTCCAGGGATGGTGACTCAACCACTTCCCTGGGCAGCCTGTTCCAATGTTTAACCACTCTTTCAGTAAAGAAATTTTTCCTCACATCCAATCTCCATTACCTGGGGGTAACCCAGGAACACCTTCAAAGCATATTTCACTTTACAGTCAGAGGGGTTTTTCCAGAGCAGGGAGGTTTCTTGTCAGCTTGTCCCATCTACCTGGTGTCACAACAGGCCCGTGTGGGAAACACGTGCAACTGGGTTCCCACTGCAACCGTATTGAGGGAGCAATTCCCCCCCAGGTCAAGACTATTCTCACTGGGGTTTCACTGACATGTCGGACCTTTTCCTAGAGGCTCCCATGTGTTTCCAAGAGATCTTTGCATCCAGTGCCTGCTTTCAAGAGCTGCCAAGACAGTGCCGAGGTTGCTTGTCTCTCTACCAGGCTTTGGGTCTGAGCAGTGAAGAGCTTGGCCATGAGAGATTTTAATAAACTGAAATGCCCTATGTGTTTAACAGAGAGGAACAGAAGCATCAACTTTTTTTGGTGTGCTCAAAGGCAAAATGCTGCAGCTCCTACAATAGCAAATCTCCAACTCGAGAGGACCTGAACTGATAAATTCAGGTCTAGTCCTAGATACCAGTGGAGCAGTAGTGGACACCCCTCTGTGTGCTTATGGGACCTCATCAGACAGTGCCACTGGCACTGAAATTGTATTGTGACCTTCAAAAACCTTTTTCTGCTCAGTCTTTTTTTTTATAATTAAAATTATAGATGAAAGTAGCAGGAGACAGTCACATAAAAGGGGACGGGCACAGAAGCATTCATTTACAAAATCTCCCCATGCGCTTAGGAACGCGGCTATTTCTTTTATCTATTTGGATGGCCAGATCCTTTCAGATAATGACAGGGCTGCAGGTTTTTTTAATAGCTTGTGTCTGCAGAGAGGCATGATGCTGGGAGAGGTGAGCCCGCACCCGAGCAGTCCGTCCCCTGGGAGCGCCTGCCCCAGCCAGCAGTGCTCACCGGACTGAGCACAGCCTTGCAGGGAAATCCTCCTGGAGCTGGCGCCCTGCTAGAAACAACCTCTCCCTGCCTGAGTGCAGCCTGAGCCTGGAAATACAACTCCAGGAGATCTGCCTTTTTTTTTGGGGGGGGGTGTTTGTTTTTTGTTTTGGGGGGGGGGGGGGGCGTGCTGCTCTGAAGAGGGATTCATCCCATCAACAGAACTCCCGGGGGCCCGCGGCTGGGGAAAGATGCTCCCCGTAACCCCTCTGAGCTCCTCGCAGGGACCCCAGCAGAGCCAAAGGTAAGTTGTCCTGAATTAAATTCATTTCTGAGCTTGCGTTGGGCTAGTGCAGTGGCATCGCAAGTCAGGTCCACAAGGACTTCCCGCAAAACAGGAGCCACTTCGTTAAAGTTGGTCATTCACTACTGTGATAAAGTAATTAAAGCCTCCCAATCGCTTTCTCCCCCTGCTGCTCCTTCTCTACGTACAAGCATCAGGACTCTAGCATAGACGGAGCTGTTGACACTTTGTCAGTGAAAATCCAGAACTGTGCGAGTAAGAGAAATGTTTTATGGGGACTATAAATAGTTTTGCATTAAGGCAAATGTATTCTCCTGCCTAAAATAGATTCACCTTGCAAACGGCTTAAGGACAGTTTCAGTGCCAGAGGAACGCCTTCAGATTTCCCTCAGGAGACAGAAACAGCCTTTTTCCCCTGAAAAAGCAAACGAGACCAGCAGCCGCAGACCCCTCTGCTGCCACCACCCTCTCCCCCCCCGGCTCCTCGCTGCCTGGCAGCATCCCGCTGTGCTTGGGTGTCAGCCTGGGAGACCACCCAGCATCCTTCCACCAAAAAGGGACATTAATTCATGCAACTAACTTTTCCAATCATTTTTTCCAGACGCTTGCAACACGCGTGCTCATTACACGGGTGAAAGGCAAGAGGAAACTTTGGGGAGGGGGAGCAGCGACTTCCCACGATCGCATGGAGCAGCGGGTTGCTTCCCCTTCACTCCAAAGGGAATAATGCAGCCAGACAATGCAAACATCCTCTTTGCTAGGGCTGCAATGTGTTAACAGCACTCTCCCCTTGCTGCCAGACCATCATTTCATTCCCTGCGGAGAAACACCGTCGGGGGAGGGGAGGACAACAAGATGTCAGAAGAGAAAAAAAATATTTTTAACTCACCTTTAGGCTGTGCGTTGGGTTGACGACGCAGACAAGTTGCCCGGCAGCTGAGAAAACCCTCTTAGCCTTGTAGTGCTGAAACCGCAGGTGAATAAGATCTAACACAGCCCCAAAGCACTGGGTGAAGAAAAGCATCACAACTTTTGGCGTTGCTGCTGCTGCTGCTGGCGGCGGGCAGGGGAAGCAGCGAGGGAGCCCCTGAGTCCTTGAGCCCGGGGAGAGAGTGCAGTCGGCGAGAGCTACGCTCTGGCACGGCTTAGCATGCCTTCATATTCATCATCAAAATAAGACGGGAAGAGGCTTGCAGCAGCGGGGCGGCCAATGGAAAGGACAGAAATGTTATCCTTGAGGTCCGGAGACAGCCAATAACGAATGCCTCCCCTCCAGAAACTCCCTGATGAATTGAGCCTGGTGGAGAATGTATTATTGAACATTACCATACATCAGCACGTTGCATTTATCTTGTGATTACAGCCAGTCATACGTGAGGCTGTGGAGATACACAGGCAAAATTGATTGCTTAATGTCTCCATTTATTAATTGCCTTAATTTAACAAAAGAGCACTTGGATACCAAAGATAAACGTAAGGCACAGGGAAGAAGCCCACCAGTGAAACTGTTAGAAAGTAGCAAAAATAGATTAAGTAGACTATGTTTTACCGAGGGAGAAAAATCAAATATGCAAAGAGAGTTACAGTTCCTTGCAGGGGTTAAGCAGAAGTAGAGCTTGCTATATAAATGGATTCACGTCTTTGCATTTGCAGGCTTCGATTTGGATTTTCACCACTCTGAAGTTTTCTAAATTTTATATTCTGCTACCTCACAAGGGTCCCAGCACACACATAACATTTCCCCCCCCCACTAAAAATAGGAGAGGTCAGGTCTCAGGTCTGGTGTAACTTGGAATAACTCCATTTAAGTCAGCGATGTTTTCCTGATTTACGTTCGCCGGTGGATCAGGTCCGTTGGACACAAAACATGGTAATTACTGGATGCTGGAACTATGAAAGCATAAAAAGGCACAGAGCATGCTTCTAAAAATAATGAAATACATGATGCATGAGAGCACACACAGAGAGAAACTTGCACTGAGGGAGAAGTGTCTTCTAAATCAACAGAATAATTAAACATGCAGAAGGCTTTTGCTTGTCATTCATCTGCATATCGGTGGGCAGGAAATTACTAATTAGCCATTAGATCGTCCTAGGCATTAAAAAGGAATTAGGGAAGTGCAAGGAAAATAACATGCTTTTGCATACTATTACCAGCGCGTGTATCTCTGTTGGTGGGCAGGGATCGTTTTTGAGCCATTGAGTCTCATTAAACTTGAGGCGCCATAACTGGGTTTTCTGGGAGGTGACTGTGCCAAAGCAGCTGAGGGAATCAGAAAGTACGTTCATTTCATGGGACAATCCTGGGTGATATGTTGCTCTGCTTGTTAAAAAATCAAAGAGGGTTAATTTAATTAGCTCTCTGCCAGAACTTCCTATCAGGGTACTATTTAGGCTTGCCAGCTAAGTACTCAGATGGCTTATTTAGCCTCGGTAATCCTTTTTCCCTTCAAAGCAGAACAGATAAAAGTAGCTTTTCTTTCTTTTTTTTTGCTTCTTTTTAAACGTGAGCCCCGCACTGGGGGTAAGGCTGCTGCTCTGGACAGAGCAGCCCCTGTACAGCTCAGGCTTCAGCCTGGGACCGGACTGTCACAACTGCCTCTTCCTAAAGCAATACTGCAATACTGGCTCTGCCAGACTGCAGAGAGACTGTGCATAAAAAAAAAAAAAAAAAAAAAAAAAACGGCCTGAGAAAAAAAAAAAGGGG